AGATTTCCAAAATGCAACCCATCCAGTGAGTAAGAAATCAAACCTAACCATTAAAGCCACAAATCTTAACAGAAAGATCAAAATCTATGCAGAAGGCAAAAATCCCCAGAAACAAGGGATATTTCCAGTTATTCCTGAAAAATCAGCATGACTCACATTCTCCTGAGGTATGACCTCTTCAAAGGCTCCCAAACGACACACCCCTGGGTGCATCTCCATAGTTTTCTGTATCAGGTATCTGACGAACAAGTTTAAAAGATAAATTGTATCCACCTGATTTTAAAGCTGAGGAGCTTAAATTCAGAGATGTTAACGGACTTGCCCAAGGAAACATGTACTAAGGGATGGAACTGAGGTTCAAGCCTGCCTCTGGACCCCTGACAGCCTTCCTCTGGCTCCTCTGGGTTGCCCCTGTTGCAAAGCTTTCTGATTCTATGCATGGCAGGGTTGTAATTCTCTCCTTCACCTTCTACTCCTTCCCTCCCTTTCCTTCCACTGTGCTACTCCTCAGAAATCCAATATAATCGTTCTCGATTCGAGACTTTCAAAGTCAAAGGTCTACCTTCAACCCTCTCTCCCTGCCTTTAGAGGGGTAGAAGCAGGTGTCATTGGAGAATTAGGTCTGTGTTTTTCAAAGGAATAAAACACATCCTATAACTCAGAAGCTCACAGATTGTAGGAAGGACAGACCTGTCATATAATCTTGAAATAATGTGATAAGTGAAAGATAGGCATTTACAAGGGTATGTATAAGAATTTATAGGAGAAATAGTAGCATGTTCAGAGAGACTTACTTGAAATACCCAAAAAAATCTTTAAAAGTTTTCTAAATTTTATTGGAAGCCTCAATAACATCAATTAACCATGGCCACCTGCAGTATATAATACTCATAAAGATATAAAGTGGGTGTGAGTGGACTCTTTCTTGATTCTTAATATGTACATATTGTTTCAATAAGAGCCCATCCTTACATAGTGATGTATATCGTTCCTTAGGCAATACCACTACAAATATGTTATATTATTTGGCAATTTACATAGCACCTTAACATCAGTTATTTCACTTGACTCTCACAGGAGTTTTGAGAGAAAGCCAGACAGATACAACACGTAGCTAAAAGGGTAGACTCAGAATTTGAACCTAATTCTTCTGACATCATTCCACCTCCGTCCTCCTCCACAGCTGCCCCCACGTTTTTTTTTTTTTTGAAAAAGCATAACTCTACAAGAACCTTCAAAATGTTAGAGAATTATCAGAAATTGTAATCCAAAATGGGGGGCTGCTGACAAGCACAACAAACTTGTAAGAAATACGTGCTCACAGAAAAAGCAGAACCAAAATGTAGGTCGATGGGCACTCAATTTTAATCATCCTACAGGAAGGAAATTAGTCATTTCTATGCAAAAGGAGGCTGGAAGTGTGGTCTTTATTTCCAGCTGCATTCCCTAGAGAACAAGATGTTCTTAGTTTAATGGAACCTAGGACTGCAGACTTTGTTAGAATTAATAAATATGACTTTTTGGAAGGAAGGAAGGAAGGGAGGGAGGAAGGAAGGAAGGGAGGGAGGAAGGAAGGAAGGGAGGGAGGGAGGGAGGGAGGGAGGAGGGAAGGAAAAAGAAGATAACACATATGATCTGATGGTATAATGTGTTCATTGACGGAGTGAACGCTCACTTCAATTATCACCCCACAAAATGAGGACAACCCTCCCCGCTACCCCCCCCCTCCACATACTGGGAAAGGAGTGCACTCAATTGGCCAAGCATTGGCAGAATAAGTCTTTGTTTTCTACACAGTTAGCATTGACTATTCGTGTGCTTGTCTATAATTTTAATGGGCACAGGTCTGGGATTAGGGTTAACAATTAGGAAACTAATGCAATAGCCCAGGTGAGAGATGTTGAGGCCCCAGTGAGGGCAAGAGTAGGAATGAGTAGAGCTCCTCATGACCGATTAGATTCAGCAGCTGTCTCCAAGTGATTTGCAAACTGTGGCTCTCAGAGGGTCTCCAGGGAACGGTCTGTTCCCCTTTCTTCCTTTGTTCTTTCCCTTTTCCCATCTTCAGAGTTTGCATCTAACCGCGTTGAGGCCACCCAGCGGCTCTGCCCTGCCTTCTGCTGCACGCATTCAGTAAGCATTCCCAGAGTGGTTAATGGCGCCTAACCACCCTATAAGCATCTACTAGGGACCCGGAATGGCATGATGCTTAAACATTTATGTCCATTATCACATTACTCCCTCATCACAGCTCCTTACAATGGCTGTGTTGCCCCCACTTCCCAATACAGATTAAGACACAAAGGCTTACGCCGCTCAGCTGACCCAGGATTTGAACCTATATTTGTTTAACTTCAAAACTTCTCCACCAACCAAATTACCACTCCCTGCCCATTTGCAAATTACAAAAGAAATAGAAAATACAAGGAGTGTCTGGGTCAAGAAGGTGAAACACAAGAATCAACTAGAAAAATAGAATTTAAGGCATGAACAGGTTTGGACTCCAGATACGTGGTACACACGTGCTCCTGAGAAAATGGGAGCGTAAGTGACCACGAGAAGATGGCATTATTTACATAAGATGTTTCAGAGGGAACCTTCAGTGCTGTCTCTTAAAGAAAAGTGAGAGGCATAGCTAGTGGAGAATTGAAGGCTAAAACTCTGTGGCCAAGGGGATAGGACACAAACAGAGGTGCAGAAGTGACACAACACAGGCGTGAAGTGGGACAGTGAGGGGATTGGTTCAATGCCTCGGCGTACTGAGACCAATAAAGAATGATGTACTTCACTCTTATGAGGCTGAATGTCTTAAGGGGACATCTTAGAATTCAATTCGCTATTGGAAAGCCAAAAAAGAAAACCCTTTTTAGACACTGGGGTACAAAGTATCAGATTTCTGTGCCACACGTTTTAAAACTTGCTCTCACCCACCTAACCCTCTTCGGTTCATCTTGCATCCAGGTCTGTTTTCTCTCCGTCTGTCTCTGACACTCTTTGGTTCTCCCTAATATATTTAGCTGACTTTTTTCCAGTAAAGAACTAAGTGTCTGCCAAGTTGCCCCTAGAACAGGCCAGTTTCAGCCGCTCTTGTCCTTTCTTTTCCATCCTCGCCCTCCCTCTCTGCATTTCTTACTACTTATTCCTTCAGAATTGTTTCTACTTCTCCCCATGCGCCCCGCTCTGCACAATTCCTTTTCCCTTTATACAGGTATTGATTCTTCTTCTTTGTTCCTCCCGTCCACCCCTCTAAGGGTTATTTTTCTCTTCCTAGCCTTTGCTGGGAAACAGGAAGCAAAATCATGTCCTGTCAAATCTTGTCCTACCCAGAGAGTCTCGGGAAATACTGTAGAATAATCAGAATGTGAATGAATAATGTAGGCTAAAATTATTCCTAGACAAATAAGCTTCACATTAGGGATCCATAGTCTAGGAACCTTCTTGTCTGCTCCCATAGTGACCAGAGCGGTGGTTTGCAAACTTAAGCGGTCTTCAGAATCTCCTGGAGCCCTTGTTAAAACACAGATTGCTGATCCCCACCCCCAGAGTCTCTGATTCAGTAAGTCTCGGATGGGGCCGGAGAATGTGCATTTTTAACAGGTTCCCAGGTGATGCCACTTGTTCTGGTCCAGGGGCCATGCTTTGAGAAGCCCTGGAGCGTGGGTACCAACAGGTGTGTGGTGGTCAAGCCTAAGCTGTGCATGATAGCAGCTGGGCAGAGGGGTCATAAAAGGGAATGAAGGTTTGTTCCTTGTCACGCCAACAAAGGGGCTGAAAGAAGCCTGGGAAGCTCTGGATAAGGGATCCAGAGCATGTGCTGGGGTGCAGCACAGAGGGAGGACAAATGGGGAAAGCTCTGTGTTGTGACCTCCTGGGAAACACCGAAGCCAGCTCCAAGCCCTGCCATCCACCCTCCCTCTTGCAATCATGCCTGGAAGCCACAGAAGGGAATTCTCAGGATCCCTTTGATCTCGCCAAAGTTCTCGAATCCTCTGTCTGTTTATCTCCTTCCTTCCCTGGCCTCCTCGTCCCCCTTGCTACCCCCTGCCCAGTGGATGAGTCACTCACTCCCCTCCCCACCCCACTGCCATCTGTTTTTCTAATGATGGCAGAAGATGAGCTGTTTTGTTGGCCCACACCATAACAAAGCACACTCCATGCTAGCATTTTTCCTGATGCACGCTCAGGATGGTATTTTATTGGTATCATTTCCCCACCCAGTTTTCCCTTTGTCTGAAACCCCACAATTTTCCCCTCTTTGGCCTCATGGAGATCCCAGTTTCCCAGAATTAGATACAAGAAACAGGGATACAGGAGAATCCAGGGACTAACAGGCATGTGGGTTGGGTGTGTATGTGGGGGGAGGGTGCTGGAAGTCAAGGGCAAGTTAAACAGCTCTCTCTAGCGCACTAGGCACAGCCAGAATTATTGAGCATTGCTGCTAAGTGGCTTAATTACTTCCAGTGAAAGACTTTGATGACAAAGCCTAACTGTAGCCTGAGACTACAGTATTTGTATCTGCTACTGGCTATTCCCAGGGTGAGAGGGCTTAAAGGGTGTGTGTGTGTGTAAAGTTACATATACACATATGAATTTTATGTGAAAATCCCAATTTTCAAGCATTGGCAACCAATACAAAATTGTTTTTAGACACTGAGCTGGCCAAACCCCTGTCTGTGGGCCACTGATCTGCAAAACTCTGATCTAACTAAACTCCAGTGAGGCCCGGTTAGAGAATCCCAAAACCATAAATAATTCTGACTTGCTTTTAACTTTTATTAAGTCATTTAAAATGGAACCCTGGAGATTTTGTTAAAATTAAAAAAAAGGCAAAATCAGAAATCCTAATATCTGTAATTTGGGGATTGTGGAGCTAAATTTAAGAGATTACACGAAGGACATAGGATCTGGGAAAGGGCAAATACTGAAGCAGAAGGACGCAAGTCTCCATAAGGTGAGCAGAACAGAGAGCTCTGGTCTGCGCTGGGGGAGGGGAGGTGGCTTACCTCACAGGACTGGATGCAGTGGATCAGGAGGGGGTCTGGGTGCCACTGACGCCGCCCAGTGCACACGATGCTCTGAAGGGGAAGACGGAAAGAACAGAAAACAAAAGCAAAGACACCTGGTCAGTGAGAGAAGGGGCAAATCCTGAGCTTACCCCACTAGCCCAACCCCTTCCCTGAGGAGCAAGCCCCAGCTGTGCTGCATGAAGAGGTCCAAGGCCATAGTCTGGTCTTTCCCGTGGAACTGCTAATTCTGCCAGGTGAAGCCAAGGGGGAATCTCTTAATGGAGGGAATCTTTCATTCTCTTCATCATCTTCACCCTCCCTGAGCTATCAAATCCAGAATGGTGTAGGTGTGCTTAAAAACAGCATCCTCAATACTAAAATGACTTTAATTTGGCTCTAGGCATAATATTGGTTCCATTTATTTTGAAATATTAAATCAAGTTACAAGAAATTGTGAGATGGCTTGTGTTCATCAGGAAAGACCATGGAGTTTTAAAGGCTGAGAAACAGAGCTTCATAAGAAGAGTCTTGAACTGAAAATGGATCTCAGGAATCCCAGATCACAAGATGTGAGTGTCCAAGCAAGGAGTGGGGCCAAACTGCACGCTCTGCAACTCCTGGCAGCACCAGTTATGCCTCCTTGTGGGAAATAAAAGAGGGTCTACGCACTGGACAGATAGGCTTAATGGGAAACCGCCAGGCACCAACATTAAGATGGTGAGAGTGTGAAGACGTGTCTGTGTTAAAACACTGGTGACCTTCTCTGACCATTGACCAGGGCCCAAGGACCATTTCCTGATGTGCCTTTAAACAAGTAGTCATCTACTCTTTATGAATAATAATAACTCATTTTCATGGAGTTTTTTTTCTTTTAATTTTTTGTATTTAAAGATTTCAAAAGATACACTTCAGGAAAAGAGAAAGTCCCAAAAGATGTTTCAAAGAGAAAAAGAGGTTCTCTTTATAACCTGCTACCAATCCACCCATTTGTGGACTTTCATACTCACATTTTAAATTCAGTACAATAGAAATTCAGGGGAACCAGAAGAAAAATGATGCATTGTGAGATATGAGTTTTACATAAAACAGCACTCCAGTAATTGAAAATTATACATTCTAGAATGCTAAGACTGTACAATGATCAGATTGGAGACATTTGCATATATTAAGCTGTAGGTATATGAGTATATACCTCAGAGTCAGTTATGCAAATGCGCATCTGCAGTATTTTTCTGGAGTTATATTACTATAAACTAGAAGTCCTCCTTCACAGCTTCCCTAAAGAGGCAATAAATACTGTAAACCCTAAAAAGTTCTTTTGATATTCAAAACTCTATACTGTAATAATGTAGAAGGCGACTTTGCTTAAATTATCATTGCAAAGACACAGACCTACTAGAGAATGGACTTGAGGATATGGGGAGGGGGAAGGGTAAGCTGGGACAAAGTGAGAGAGTGGCATGGACACATATACACTACCAAACGTAAAACAGATAGCTAGTGGGGAGCAGCCGCATAGCACAGGGAGATCAGCTCAGTGCTTTGTGACCACCTAGAGGGGTGGGATAGGGAGGATGGGAGGGAGACGCAAGAGGGAGGAGATATGGGAACATATGTATATGTGTAGCTGATTCACTTTGTTATAAAGCAGAAACTAGCACACTATTGTAAAGCAATTATACTCCAATAAAGGTGTAAAAAATAAATTAAAAAAATTATCATTGCACTAAAAAAAAAAAAGAATTATCAAATATATACAGTCATTCCTTGATATCCACAGGGGGTTGGTTCCAGGACCCCCGTGGATGCCAAAATCCAAGGCTCCTCAATCCCTTATATAAAATGACATTCTATTTGCATATAACATCCTATTTATACTTTAAATCATCTCTAGATTACTTATAATACCTAATACAATGTAAAAGCTATGGAGATAGCTGTAAATACACTGTAAATGCTATGGAAATGGTTGCCTGAAAGCAGCAAATTCAAGTTTTGCTTTTTGGAACTTTCTGGATTTTTCTTTTTTTCTGAATGTTTTGTTACCAGATAATGGTAATGGCAAAATGCAGTAATTTGAACCCTTGAAATGCAAATACATGGCAACTTTATTCCTTCTCATGCACTGAATCCACTAAGGACCCCCAGTCCCCACCCTAGTCAGTCAGTCATTCAATTCAGACTAAATGTAGCACTCACTACGACCCAGTTTCCTCAGGGAGCAAGAGGGATCTGAAGATCCACCAGTCCTGTCACTGCCCTCAAAGAACTCAAAGTCTATGGGGGGAGGTAGCTGGAAGTACATCAATTCCTCCACATGAAGGGGAACTTAGCCTCAGCACCCTCACATGACGACCATAGCCAGAACTTGCCAGAACACTCTGAACTGACTGGATCAGTTTTTCTTATGCCCTTCATACCTTCTACTCCATCCACCACCTTTCTACATGCAGGAGTGTTGATCTTCTAATACTTGAGAAATTCTAAAAATACATTGCAAAGGAAAAAAGCAAACAAAAGAAAAAAAACCTAAAAGAAAGAAAGAAAGGAAAAGAGTCTGTCTGTATTTACTTTTAATTCTTTTTCTCCAGTGCTCTTTTTTTTAACCACAGACGCTTTTGGTTTTCTTTTGTGACCATCTCTCCAGATTAATGTTCTGTGGAACTCACTTTAGGAAATGCTACTCAACAGTTATCTGATGGAAACAATATATGTGCATTCTTTTTCACATAACAGCTTCTTCATTTTGCTCTGCTGAAGCAAATTGCAATTACCATTTATTGTGAAATTTGTGATCTCTCTCTTTCCAGTCTTTTTTTCATCACTGTTCCATTTGTAGTACTAGCCTCTACATCTCTACTCTGTATCAGTAGTTGGTTCATTTTTTTTCATTCATTCAATTTGTTTTAACATCTTTATTGGAGTATAATTGCTTTACAATGGTGTGTTAGTTTCTGCTTTATAACGAAGTGAATCAGCTATACATATACATTCTCCAGTGTTCTTTTCTCTTATTATTTCCAATTTATTTTTTACACCTTTGTTGTTGTTGTTGTTTTGTGGATGCACCATGTGGCTTGCGGGATCTCAGTTCCCCAACCAGGGATTGAATCTGGGCCACAAGCCCAGAATCCTAACCACTAGGCCACCAGGGAACTCCCCTACATCTTTGTATTTTTATGTAATTTAATTTTATTATGTGATACATGTTCACAGTATAAAATCTAAAAAGCATAAAAGGATACACACTCTCCCCAACTACTCAATTTCCTGCATACTATTTTTAGTTCTTTTTTATGTCATTACAGATAGTCTATGAACATATATACATATATAAAATTATTTATTTCCTCACACAAAGTATGAAATACTATAATTTTATTTAGTGCTTTAGTTTATTGTTGTTTGACTGTCTAACTTTATTTTACTTCATAGCATTTCTTGGTGTTCTGTTCATTTTATGGTATATGGGTTGCTGCATTCTATTGATTGCATATTATTCCATTTCATGGATGTACCTTAATTTACTTAATCAGACCCATATTAATGGATATTCAAGTCATTTTCAGTCTTTTGCTCTAACAAACAAAGCTTATGTATAAGTCATTTCATACATGTGCAACTACATCTGTTCAATAAACTCATGATAGTGGAATTGACAAAACCCATCTCAATGAATTTTTTAATATTCTATAATTCAGTCTTAAGACTAATTCAGACTGGCAACCTCCTCGATCTCTGTACAGATTACCAAAGTTTCTGGTACCTGTGTCATATATCTTCCTAGACTGCAAAATCCTTGAGAATAGGGACTGTCTCCCACTCACACATCTTATTTCAGTGACTTAGAGAGAGACAACGTTCAACAAGTACTTGTCAACCGTTAAATAGGGTGTTGTACCTTTAGGTTTCTTCTTTATCTTCTGGCCTATGAAAGTCACTCATCTCATATGAAAAGATCTGCATATAGAATTAATTGAATAACTACTTACTGATCAAAATTGGAGAAAAATTTTAAATGTTTTTCAGATCCTACATTTTATGGGCACATTTGTGGTAGTGAGGTGAAAGAGGAAAGTGAAATGGGAGGAAAACTAGTGAGAAGTTGGCATAGAAGGGCTAGCTCCTGGTGAGGTGTGTTAAATTAGTTAAACAAGGAGGCCATTACACTGAGGTGGCTCTAATGCCACGGTGGCCTGTGGAAGCAAAGCAGAATCTAAGCCTGTCAATGTCTCAAGGTTATGAAATTGAAACCAAAGGGCAATCAATCATGAACAACCAACTTGGCTTTAAGCTATAACCAATCAATAATTTCCTTACTTTGCTTCTGCCTTTTCTCTATAACCAAGTCTCTCCGCAGCTGCTGTTGGTAGAGTACTCCTAAACCCAGTATGGCACTACCCGATTTGAATTGTTTTTTGCTCAGATAAACTCTTAAAATATTTAATATGCCTCAGTTTATCGTTTAACAGTTCAATATGATTTTCTTATTTTCTGGAATGCTTTTGACAAATTATAATCCTATATATTACATTTGAAAAGCTATAGAGAATAATTGAAAAAACAACCTTATATCCTCTGCCCAGCTTTATCAAATCATGACACTTTGTTTTATCTGCTTCCAGAGTCTGTCACTAGAGATTCAATTAATGTCCCTTATATATGTCCCTCCAACATCATTCTCCTTCCATCCTCCCTATTAATAACAACTATTCTGAATTTTAAAATTATTATTTCTATACATTTGTATATAATTGTAACTATAGTTGTTATACTATTAGCAAGCCACTTCTCAGATGAATCAATTGTGAAAACTAAGGGCCAAGGATTTGTTTTAAACTTTTCAAAAAGAAAAAGTTCATGAGAAAACCAGTTTAAAGATTTCCTCTTGGTTGGACTATTTTAAAGTTTTTTAAAAAACAAGGGAAAAAAGAGAAGAAAGGAAGAACAAAGGGAGAGCATAGGTGGGAAAGGAGAAGATGGGGTGGGGGAGAAAGGAGGGGAGAGAGAGAGAGAGAGAGAGAGAGAAGGGATGGAGGAAAGAGGGAAAGAAAACCAGTTAAGGATTA